GCCCAGGCTGTATAAAATTTTTTTTCCATTGCATTCTAACCTCATTAAAAATTACAAAAGTAGAAGGAGGTGCAGGCTGCACTATGGGGTATTTAGGTCAGAAGAATCATTCAAATTGATCTTTATTTAGTGGTCCCTAAACAATACGGTGGTTACCAAAAGAGGTACCCTCCTGGGACTTACAATTACCACATTATACAGCTGCTGTGTGGATGGCAAGAGAAAGTGGAAGATGATAGTTGAAGAGCCACCCTTACATCTTCTATGGAAGGCTCATGACCATTAAGAAGCTCTTTGCATTAGTTTGCCCATAAATAACACTGCACAGTTCAATTTGAAATTTCAAATTGACCCAACTCACACCCTTCCGCATCTGGAACAGTAATTATAATCCTGGCAGGTCTCAGAGTTCTCTTTATTTTTCACTCTGAGCCCAGAACACCCACTACTCCAGGACAGAAATTCAAGGCTCTGCAGTCAGTTCAGCTCAGCTTTCAGCCCGAGGACAGCAAGCCTACCATGCATCCAAGACAAGATGGACTGAACGTCTTCCTCTCTGCAGGGACAAAAGGGCAGCAGAACTTCTGGACCAAGAATCAATAATCAGGTTGGTTCCCTCACTCCTCAAGCCACAGCCTGTAGAGGTGAGAGTCAGGAAGGGGACAGGATGAATGGGCGGGGTCGCCAGGCTGGGGAAGGGAAGGGACATCTGTCCCTTTTTAGTAGGAACTCTCAGCCCCTATTAGCTGGGAGACCTGGGGCAGGTTACTTAGCTTCTCTTAAGCCTCTGGGGCAATCTCAAAGGAATGTTGAGGATCTAATGGCAAAATGTGGGTAAACGTCTTGGTTCAGACACTGGCCCAGGGGAAGCCTTTAATGAATAGCAGCTACATTATTTTTGTGGCCGTTGCCATTGTCATTATTGTTTTGTACTTGGAATCACCACCCCCACTACCATCAACGACTTCATCGCCACCAGCAGCCCCACCTTCCAGCCTGACAGCTTCAGGCCCAGGTGATTCATTTATTCCCAGGATAGGCCTCAGAGCAACACTTTCCGGGGTGACTACTTCTCAGAAGGCAGAAAATCCGCTCTGGAAACCCTCCTCTCTTTCTTTCCCTCCTTCCGCCCTTCCCCCTCTGGCTCTCTATCACGCCCGCTCTGGTTCTCTGGAGTTCAAACTCGCGCCCCTGGACCCAGCTCAGCTCCACCGCCCCGGGTCGCCCTCACGCGTGCGGGCGCCTTCCTGCACGCCGCTGCCCCCTGGTGGACGAGGTCGTTAGCGCCCTGGCCCCGGGGTTTCAGCGCTCCCGTTCTGCCAGGTGGCTGCGCTCCCTTTCTGCCAGGCGGCTGCGGGCAGACCCTCCGTAGGCTGGCCACCGCCTTCGCCAGCTCGCGCGCCTGCCCCGCTCGCTCGCTTTTCTCGCTGCCCTGCCACATCTTCCTCTGCCTCCCACCCGAGGGACCATGTCGCGCCTCAGCTGGGGTTACGGCGAACACAACGGTGAGCGCTTTCTGCAGATCCGAGGGAGGGCTTTGCTCAGGGGGCGGTTGTAGGGGACAGACCCACACACTGCTGATCACGCACTTGCGAGAAACTTTTTGGTTCCTCTTTAAATTGGGCAGCTTTCCCCAGAGCTGAATGCAGGAAGTGGAGGGAAGGCTTAGTCTTGTGTAGACGGGGAAAAGCGTTATTTGGAGGGTGTTGATCGTGGGGGTGAGAGTTGGTGTGCGTTAGCCCCGTGAAGACTCCCAGACCCCGAAATCTTCGTTACATGTCCATTCACTTTCCTTTGAAAAGCCGAGGACTTTCCCTAGTAACAACTACTTATCAGTTAAAGGCACGGAGATTAGAAGTCTGATGACATACTTTAATGAATTGACAAGTTCACTATTCACTTGGAGGAAACAAGTCATGGAAAACATTTGAAGCTATACTTAAGAAATTTTAATAATTGAATTGCAACCCTGATGATTTAAGTTGCCTTCTTGGCAACCAAAATACTGCAATTTTCTTAATAGCTGTTACTATAAAATATTGCCATGGCAGTTTGGTACTGTTAGCTTTAGGAAGATTTAAGTTCTTCCTAAAAAAAAAATGAAGTTATACTTCGGGCTACTTCTTCACTCTTTCTCCCTTTCCCACACTCATCCTTGCAGAGACAGAGGATTATTCAAATTTTAGCACGTTGGTGAACATGTATTTATTGATGGGAGTGTCAGTAATAATAAGATGTATACTTCTTCTATATACTAAATCATCAAAATAACCATTATTTGAAATAACTGCAAGATAAAACCAAGAAAGCCTGACAATGACTCACTGTCAAAATTAGATCTGTGAATAATAACAATAATAATAATACTTTCCTTGGATTAACATATATATTATTGAACAGTACCCTACAGTCAAATTTTATAGAAAGTTTATTTTCACAAAGAAACAGAAAATCTTCTTTTCTAATTGTAGCCTTTTTGAAGTTATGATTAACTTGCCAGTTTAAAAATGGCAGCAGGTGAAATTTAGAACTTTAATAATAAAAGGTATAATTTAGGTGAATTTCTTTCTGACTGAAACTATAATTATAATTTCACACTTTTGCTACTTTCCAATTTATGTTTGGGAAAAAAACACAAAACAAATTTCTTTTAATTTTCCTCTCTGCTGGAATAATTTTAATTTTTGTTATTTAATAGTTCCTGGGTAGCAACAGTGCACTCATTATAGTTAGGAAGAAGAAGGGTATTTTCAGTCAATGAGTACTGATTACTCTTTACTACGTTTATATGTTAGAAAATAGTGGCTCCAATGGAGCTCATCTTCAGAAATTTAAAAAATCTATCCCTGAAAAGTCACTACCAAAGAGAGATTCTGTATTTCTGCTAAGAATTTATAGGGCCATTTCCTGCTTTTAGATAGCTTTCTGAGGACCGTGCCTGTAAGTAGATCAACTGTGCCAAAATCCTACTGGAAATATGTTGAATCCTGACTGGGCAAGTTTGGTTGCTTGTTTTCTGTTGAGACTGACAGAAGCAGTGAGTGAGCAGATAAAAGGAAACTTAAACTGGGTATAGTAGCAATGACAAAATGGAACACCAAGAGTTGAGGCATTGGACTGGGGGACCACCTTCACCAAAAACATGTAAGTTCTTGCACTAACCTGTGATAGTTTCATTGGTTCAGTTTAGGGAATGTGACACTTACTGAAAACTACATGTCTCTATAGATACTCAACAGTCCTTGAATCAGTGGAAGATTCACTAGATATCTCTACTTAAGAACTAGGTTTAAATGGGTTTAAAGTTGGATGTTTTGGAAAAATTTTTTAAAAGGGGCCTCTTTAAGAGGCAGGGAAATGAACCCACTATGGTGGTTAATAAATGATATTGAATAATTTATGCAAAGTGGGATTATTTTTATTTTATTTTGGGTTGCCTCTACTTTTAAAAATTATTCTTGTTATAAAGGACTGGAAATAGGAGAGTAAAGGAATTAGGAAGAGAAAGAAAAATGTCAACACCATTTTGTGATATATGCATCACATATTCAAACTCTAATTCTCATCAGGTTAAGTCATGCTTGGTGACAGTGAGATAGGAAACTTTTTTCACTTAAAGCAAGGACTAGATTGTGCAGAGAAAGAGTACTAGAAAGGTAAACTGGAGTTCTTAATAAATCAGGAAATGTAATGCCTTTTTTGTAATAAGTTGTAGGCAAGGACTTTTGATGTTCAAGTTGCTTTGAAGTCCAAAGTGTCAGATTCGCAAGAGAAGAGCTTTTAAGTTGTGTGTATGGTTGTTATATATTCATGCTCTGACTTTTTGTACCTGAAGCATATGTGAAGGAAAGAGCTTAAGCTTTCTCCTTTGCAAAATTGGAGACTAATAAGGAGCATTAAATTTAGAGATTGAAGCTGTTGGTAATTGCAATGTATTTGCATTTTTGAAATGTCATTCTAAATCTTATCCTTAAAAGTATTTGTTGTTGTCAGTAACAAATGTTTAATTGTCATGCTGTGTCATTTTAATAAGTACTTGAATGTTAGAGAAATCCAATTAGTGAAAGAGGGAAAAGCTTAGTCAGTAGCCCTGTGCTCTACCACCCTGGTGGTAGCTGTGTAAATTGCAGGCATAGTAGACATAATTGAGTAGTCACTATAGGTTAGAGGTTCCTTGAAGCTGCAGTCTTGCTCTTGGTTTTGGGAAGCAGAACTTGAATCAAGTCTCCCAGAGAAATGAAAAGTCTAGACAAGGGAATTGCCTGCTTATTGGTTCATGTCAATTTACCAAACATGTGTCCTACTTGGGAACTAGATGCAATTTTGACTTTTTGAATAGAGGATCAGGATGACAGTTGTCTCTTGTGTTGGAATTCAAGTGTGACACTGGCAAAATAACCGCAGAAGGACCTTCTGAAATGTAGAAAGAAAGAAAGAAATTGTTACCTGACTCCCCTGAAGATAATCAACAATATTACATTTCCTGACATGGTGCAGCCATTTTATTTGGATTATGCTGTGTGAAAAATTTAGGTATTTCCTTAGTATGCCTGTTGCACATCAGAGGTAACTGAGTTGAGGCCTGGGTGACACCTGAAGACACCAGTGAGCGATAGAAGAAAGAAATAGGGATAGCATTTTTAAGAACTGCACCCTTTTTTTGCTACACAGCTTTCTCAGTTCCATTAATTCTTTCATCCCATGAACTTGTTGACTGCTGGAGCTACCACAGATCATTCTTGGAGCTGAGACGAAATCTCATTGTTTTCAGTGATGAATTGTGCTGTTGTTTGTAGCTTGGTAGAAAGGTACCTTTGGAAAGTACTTTTTTTCCCTCTAAAGATGTATTTATTTTAGAGAGAGAGAGATCAAAAGAGAGCACATGTGCAAGGGGAGGGGGGAGCAGCAGAGGGAGAGAATCTCAAGCAGACTCCCCGCTGAGCAGGGAGCCCGGCAGACATGGGGCTCAATCTCATGAGCCATGAGATCATGACCAATGAGATCATGACCTGAGCCAAAACCAGGAGTCGGACGCTTAACCAACTGAGCCACCCAGGCACCCCTAGAAAGTACTTTTTAAAACTTACATGCTTTTGGGGGCCCCTGGGTGGCTCAATCGGTTAAGCGTCTGCCTTCAGTGCAGGTCATGGTCCCAGGGTCCTGGGATCAAGCCCCACATTGGGCTCCCTGCTTCGCAGGAAGCCTGCTTCTCCCTCCCCCACTCCCCCTGCTTGTGTTCCCTCTCTCGCTGTTGTCTCTCTCTGTCAAATAAATAAATAAAATCTTTTAAAAAAAAATAAAACTTAGCTTTTTGTCCATAAGGGTTAGTTGAATGCTGCAAATGAATTAAGGCAAACAGGAGGTTTTCATACCCATAATAAAAACAACTAGTCTTGTAAAAAAAATTAGATGTAAAAGTCCTGAAGATGAAGATCTCACTTGTTTTTCCTTCAACTCAAGCACAGTGCATTTGTTTGGTAAAGGAAATAACTTATTTAGTCCTTTTCTTTTGGTCCTATATATTTAAGGTCCTATTCATTGGAATAAATTTTTCCCTATTGCTGACGGGGATCAGCAATCTCCGATTGAGATTAAAACCAAAGAAGTGAAATATGACTCTTCCCTGCGACCTCTTAGTATCAAGTATGATGCAAACTCAGCCAAAATCATCAGTAATAGTGGCCATTCCTTCAGCGTTGACTTTGATGACACAGAGGACAAATCAGGTTGGTTCTTTTTTTTGGTGGGGGATGAGGGTCTTGGATGATTGGACTGTGATTTCTTATCTTTCATATTTAAAATACCTATGCATTGTGTGTTCCTTATCAATACTTTGCTAGAACTTGTAATAAAAGTTTTATTTGACTATTTCATGAGATAATGTCTCTCACACTGTGAATGTCACGGACCAACCAAATAAAACTTTAGTTTATTTGTTAATTTGATAACTAAATGAAGTAGAAAAAGAGAATTTCCTTAAGATGAACATTTAATCCTTCTTCAAGCATATCTACTACCCAAGGAATGGATGATATCCAGTTTAAAGTTAAGTTGAGAGAGAAGATTAGAGAGAATTGAATTTTGGAATACTTTTTTTAAAGATTTTATTTATTTATTTGACGGAAGAGAGAAAGAGAGAGAGCACAAGGGGGAGCAGGGGGAGAAGCAGGCAGTGGGAGAAGCAGGCTCCCCGCTAAGCAAGGAGCCCCATGCGGGACTCGATCCCAGGATCCTGGGATCATGACCTGAGCTGAAGGCAGATGCTTAACCAACTGAGCCACCCAGGCACCTGAATTTTGGAATACCTCTTAAGGCTTCTGACAAATTATTTTTATTTTTAGTCTAATATTAGGATGTTGCTATATTTGCTCTATTAATGAAAAATATAGTTAAATTATAAAAATTCTAAACTGGAAGAAGGTTTTCACTTGTTCATTAAGCTCAGATTTAGGTTAGTAATAATATACTGTATTTATGTGACACTATATTGTTAGCAAAAATTATAAGCCCACAAAACTTCTCATATTTGTCAAATTCACAAAAGATGTGCTTTCACCAAAGCATTGAGGAAAAATGCACAAAGAAAGATTAATACATGGTATTTTTAACTTTTTGGGGAAGGGGGGACATTGCTTTTTATATACTATATTCAGTTGTCTTTTCTTCAAGCCCTCAGTTTTATGAATCTGTATTAATAGATATGATTGGTGGGTACATTGTAAATAGTCCAAGGCTTCTGAGTATAAAGTTTATACCACCCATAATCATAGTTTGGTACACTTTATATCTCAAACATAAAAACTTGAGGCTACCCACTCCTAGTTTTAGAATAAGAAGTGATTAAATGCACTTCACCTAAAACTTTAAGTTTTTTTTTTTTAAGATTTATTTATTTTAGAGAGAGGGAGAAAGAAAAAGAACACATGAATGAGGAGAAGGGCAGAGGGAGAAGGAGAGAATCTCAAGCAGACTCCCTGATGAGCATGGAGCTTGATCTCATGACCCTGAGATCATGACCTCAGCCGAAACCAAGAGTCAGACACTTAACTGATTGAGCCACCCAAACGCCCCAAAACATTTTTATTTATAAATGTGGGCAGCCTTAGTCATAAAAAATTCCTACTCTAATTTGCTTGATGATGATCTAGGTTTCCTCTCTCCCTCTCCCTTTTTCCTTCCTCTCTTTCTTTCTTCCTCTTTCTCCCTGTCTCTTTCCCTCTTCCTCTCATTTTCCCTCTACTTTGGGTTAACCCGGGGGAATCCGTTTGTTTGTGTTTCCAGATTTGACACTGTGTCTATGATTGGTAATGTGTGCCCTCTCCCGCATGTGAAGGCCTCTATCCTATCTAGATCACAGTGAAATTACCAGGGTTAATTGGAAATGTCTGTAAAGTACTTTGTACCCTCTGAGACAGAAACTACATAAATATGGGTCATGATTCTCATTCTTTTTTCTCAAGATAAATTAAAATAGAATGTTTCATGATGATTCTGGGTATTAAATCAGTGAAATAGTAGAAACCACTACTAAATTGTTGGCTTTTCTTTTTCTTTGGTAAACTATAAAAAACACAAAGATACTTTCTGTAGCAAACCACTTTGATTTGAAGAAGACAGTTTCCATTTTGTAAAGAAGCCATTCTTGACCAAAATTAACTCTGAATCCCACCAATCAAGAAACCACAGGCATGAAACCTTCCTCATGGTCCCTGCAGGCCTTCTTTGTCTGGGAAGTTGCATTCTGTGTGATTAACCTCTGGTGCGTCACCCATAGGAATTTTAATAAACCTTTAAAAAGGTGGCAGGGGAGCCTGGGTGGCTCAGTCGATTAAGCCTTTGGCTCAGGTCCTGATCCCAGGGTCTTGCATCGGGCTCCCTGCTCAGCGGGGAGGCTGCTTCTTCCTCTCCCTCTGCCTGCCGCTCTGCCTGCTTTCGTGCTCTCTCTCCCTGTCAGATAAATAAATAAAGTCTTTTAAAAAATAAATAAAGTAAAAAGGGGGCAGGAGGATATGAAATTTTGGGGGAAGAAGTCCTGTTGGCCATGGTAGGGGAGAAATAATCTGATAAGGAAAGACAAGGGCATTCTCACCTTAGCTCCTGGTCTTTTTGTACTCAGACAGGATCTCAGCTCTGGGAATCTCACCCGACTGGCCCCACAACTCTTCTTGTGGCACTCCAGGCTTGTCCTATCACAGAACTTCCCATACTGCATTGTAACTGCCAGTTGGTTCTCTTTCCACTCAGCTCAAGACTCCCTGTGGGCAATAGCTATGTCTTACTCATCTATCTAGCATGGTGCCTTGAACACAATAGGTACTCAGTAAATGTGTGTTCCAGTTAAAAACATTTTTTTTTTGGTATGATGTTTCCTGGAGGACCTAGAAAATTGATATGGCATTATGGTACAGGATACATTAGTCTACATAGGTGAAATCCCAATAAAATT